GAAACTGTCCCATTACAAATAACCGAAAATAAGTCTAAATAATAATTCACCCATAACAAACAGTGTAGACCAATAATTCGACCTCCAAGCATATCTTACCATAACATTTCAAAAACATTAATGGATTATGAAGCAATGTTTAAAAGCTTTTTAGTGATGACTGATAATAAACAAATAAATAATTGGATCAGAATAATTGTAGATGATTTCTCTTCCTATTTCTCGTAAATACGGAGGATTGAGTGGAAACATCATATGAATATAAAATATGAAAAAAATGTGTGCATGCTTTCAATTTAACGCAAATATGATTCTATTCGTGCAATTTTAAGTATTTTGTAGAACAAATTTACTATGGAACATTTTCAACTTATACAGGGTGCGAACGATTACGATTATTACGAAATTATTATGATATATTTTCTGCAGCGAACTGTTCGGCGACAGGTCGTCTGATGGTGATAGGGGTAGGCTCTTTGGAAAGCCTAAACAATGAAATTATATGCAGTCATAAAGCAGGGGTCGGCTGAGCTACGTGCGTTTGTTAGTGAGCCGTATTTCAAAAGTAACGAATTCATTCATAGCAACTCAGCGGCAGTTCCATGCATTCTATCAATTAAGGTGACATGGAGAAGTTTCGTTGCGTATCACATCATGCAGTGGGTTACTAACTTGAGAAAAATGACTTCTGCGTTCAAAAGGAAGTTGACAGGCCGTCCAAAGTCAATTTGGACGCCAGACAACTAACGTGATCCTGTTGAAAGCAATCATCGTAGGACTGTTCGAAAACATGCGGCTAACCTGAACATTTCTGACCGCTCAGTTACAAGAATGCTTAGGCAAAATTTCATCTTTGCGGATTATTTAGAATAATAATATGTTTAATTTTGTTAATTATCCATTCAGATAATCATGACGGAAACTTTCCATAACGACATGGATGTTGACCTAATTAAATGAATGCACGGAATTGCCACTGAGTTGTAATGATTGAATCACAAAACATTTTTAAACGACTCGATAACAACTGCACGTAGCTTAGAAGACCAATACTCTATGACTAAAAATTTTTTTACGCTTTCTAAAGAGCCTACTCCCACCATCCCCAGACGATCTGTAGATGAACAGTGCGCTACAGAAAATAGATCGGATTTCTAGCCGTCACCTATATTTTTTTCTTAACTTTAATAACGAGAAATATATTTATATATCAAATAATAATCACTAAGTTTTAATAGTTAGTTATAGTCAAATTAAAATATAAATATAAAATACATCTAGTCAGAACTTTTAAAATATCATAATTATATACTTCGTTATGCATTATCTTACTACCTTATGTATAACGACTGAAAAATCCAATAAATTTAATGAGAATCCTTAATGTGATTAATAATAGTCCTTTAACATTTATGTCAGATTGTTGGAAGTGAACCCCCGCAACTCTTGAGCTACACTTGCTACCACCTTGCCCCGCTAACTTGTAATTTAAGTAATGTTAAAAGGCGACAGTGACTCAAAAACCACTTGTAAATTGTAGAATGTGGTGCTATCTTATAGTATGACGCTAAACAACACACACCCTGTGGTGAAAGCGCATCAGTGAATAAATTGAACTCTAAGAACAAACAACCAACAAATGAAAAGGTGACTTAATTAATCATGAAATTAATAATTGACATGAAAAATGCTTAGATCCAGGTTAGTGAGGGAGGAGTCATAAATGGGCCGTGTATGCTTTACGTAAACAATAGTTATGGCAGGACATTACTTTGGCTAACATCGAACAAAGTTTCTAGCGGCAATATTAACCCCAATACCAAGTACTTGTCAACTACCGATTGGCAATTTCAGAAGCTAGGAAGAAACATTGCATCTCCATCAAAAGCTTTTATCAGATTATACTTCCGGTTAAAAGAAACTCCAAATAAATCAAATGCAAATTTTAGAAGTATTTCTTTGCTGTTTTAAAATACCACAAACCAATAAAAGGTCATTATTGTTTGGAAGAAAGTAAATGAATGGTAAATAGATGAACATTATAAGACATTTTGAAAATTATAATTATTTTAATGACGAGTAATAGATGTTTATCATAATAAGGATTATAGTTAATTAGCTTTTATGTTCTATATATTAATAAATGGAAACTAAGATAATTTAACTCCTTTTTAGTTCAAATTTCACTAATTGGTATCAAGCATAATTTCATTAGTTCGTAATTGTATATTAATATATATGTATATATATATATGTATATATATATATATATATAAAGTAATATATATTTATATTTTTACGTTTATATGACTGTGGTTATAGTAATTATTATGAAGATAACGAATTTCACACTCTAGCTTACGTCAATCATTTCTAATAGAGGGTGTCTCTTAGAAGCCACAATTACATAATAATCAATGCGTTAAGTAGTGCTGTGCAAGTCGGGATTGACAAAAGATACCTTATACTGTATATACAGTATTATCTGGTGTAAGAGTCACATTCTAAAATTATGTTGATGTACAGTATGCCAGTATGTATAGTTATGCCTTTACAGTATTAAATACAAAATGTTATGAAATAGGAATAATAATTTAATATTTTTTTCACAACAATCACGTAAAAATTATGTTAACAACACGAGTAAAAATGTAATTTAAAAGTACGAACCTTGGCGAATGCCTTAAAAACTTCTACGAGTGTCAGAAAGACTATTTACGCGAGCTGCGTACACTACTTTACCTACGATCGTTTTTTAATTACTAACAATCACTACTCATAACTTCTAAGAGAGGATATGTTTCGTTTATAACCCCACCACTGACATTGATGTAACGACTCATTGCACCACCCACAATTAAATTGGTCTAAGTAAAATAATAGTTGAAGTTCGGAGCATTACAATTTTACTAGTGTTATCTTAACCCTTGAACCTCATTGGTCCATTTCTTGTGTTGTTAATATAAACAATGCTATTACGTGCATCTTTTCAATTCTAAGAAATGAACTAAAATGGCTAGTTAAGCAAACGGTAGTAGGTAAAACACTATTTTGTTGCATACGCGATTAATTCGTTGTTAGTATATTTAATTTATTTTAGAACAGATATAATTTAAGCCTTATAACTTCATCCTTAATTGTAGTAAACGTTTACCAAATTTCAAATTGAGTTTAGTTTTGATAAACAAGTTCCCGAGTAAATAGTTTTAATTACTTGGTAATACACCTGTTAGTTTCGTTATTTGCTTTAAATTATAACTATAGAGTATAGAGCATAGACGTGCTATTTATTGTGAGAATATGTATTTCATGTAAACACTCAAGTAATTTGTTAAAACCAGTAAGGGAACACCTGCTTGTTGGAGGAAGTTCTGAGATTAGCAACACATGCAGTAAAGGCTGTAAACTATACTTAAACATCTTGGCGAGAGTAATGTTTAATGCAATTAATATACATGATGATTCAATCATGATAATACCTAATACATAAAAATAGTTTGGGAAGATTGCGTTGACAAAATATATTTAACAATACAATTAACATGTAGCGGAAAAATATTTTTTTTTCATAATATATGCATGATTTTACAACAACATCCATCACACTTTCAGAATTTTTATATTTTTTAAAGGAATATTTACAAATATGGCTGATAATTAGAAGGTGATTATTTGTTTAGACAAGTATTATTATTTTTTATTTTAACTACTTAAAATACGTATACTTATACTAGATTTCGAAACTAATTATATTAAAGTATAGGGTCTGAGAAGAATTATATTTATAATTATATTTTTAGGCACAAACAGTAAACCTTTATTCTAAAATTCTATTTATTGTACCATTTCACATTGTTGTCCGCATTAATGAAATTGAAATTTTTTTTTCGTTGCTTAATTTAACTATTTTATTCTGTAGTTATTTCGAAGGTCTCAACAAATATAAATAAATATTGCCAATGTTCCTTTTAATATTATCAACATAAAACTTTCTCAAGCAGTTCCAAGACAAGTATCCAAGGGTTCTCAAAAATGACGTCACTTTCCGCTCTGGGGCATAAGTTGACGAGCGGTAAGAAGTGTACTTGAATTTCCATTTTTATGATAAATAAGGCTAGAACTTTCAACTTTTCTCCAACCTTGTGTTCGTTTTATAACCCAAAATATTCCTTTGCAAAAACTGTAAGTAAAAAAATATATTTTGTTATTTGTATATCATTCTTTGCTATATTAAGGGTACACTTCGACGAATAAAACTATAATCTTTCTAATAATGTATATTTTTACCAGCATTATATTCATTTCTTTGGAAGAGCATATAATAGTGCTATTGTCACAAATTAAAATTAGATTAGATGTAAAATGAGCTTGAGTGATGTTATTTCGTACTGCTCGTATGGGGACTGAAATATTAATGTACCTATAAAAGCAGTTTTACTTGACTTAAGCTTATTGTTCAGTATTTTTTGTTGTTGAATAGGAGGTTATTTTGTTATGCACTTGTACACTTCTTAGGACTCGCATAATTTCGTCCGATGAAAAACACTGTCATATTACCTCACATTAGCTATGATTCGTTTATAAGCAAATTTGTATTGTTTAGGAAAATGCTAATATTTTTCTATTTTTTTTTATTATTTTAAATTTCTAGATAGTTGCTTAACCATAAACTGGGTGTTGTCACCTACTTGAGTTATCAAGTAACACAAACAATTTTATCAATGCATTGTAGAAATCCATTTTCAACCAGGGATTGCCTATATATATTACCAATCATCATCTCCGTGGAACAAACACCAGCTATAGCTTTTATAACGACAATTCCTTAAGACTTATTTGCAGTTATGCTAAGACTACCATTGCAAAGGCAACTGGTTCAATCTAGATGATGCAATAGTTGCACGTCATCTAAAAGCATGGAGTAAAAACGACATAGAGGATCTTTTTTATGTTCGATATAATATCTAATAGGATTCAGCGGATTTTATTAAAAGACTAGAGATTTTAAAATATTTTATTAGTACAAATAAACTAGTTTACTGATAAAACCTTGATCACAATCAAAAATGTCAAATGTCAAAGTTCATAACTAAACATTGAGTAGTTAGCAAAAGGTTTGTTCACTGTCCATTTTACCACAACAATTCACCATACAACTTTTAAGGGGTTTTTCAATTTTATTTTAGGCCTTTCAGTTTATAGTTGTTTATAATATCCTATTTATCCTTGGTGAACTGATTGGATAAACTTCTGCTGGGTTTCTGCTAAATTGTCTCTTCCGTTTTAGGTTCGAGTCTATGTAAGTCACAACATATAATTTAGTCAATTGTGATTTAAAGGCCAATTAGCAAGATTATTTGTCAAGAAAATGGGGACGCCGTTGGATAAACATAGAAAAAAGTTATAATTGACAAGCTTACATTGTTTTGTAATTGAAAAAAATTAAACTTGGTTTTGCCGTTACATGACTCAGATTTTAATGCATTACGATAAATATATTAACAAAATGAAGCATATTGAATTTTCATAAGGACGATTTGTAGGACTTTGACAAACTGTAAGGCCTAGAAGTTTTGCAGAAATTACAGGTTTCTTAGCTTTTACGATTCAGCACTTCAATAACTTTATTTTTTGGATTTTGACATTACGAATATGTAGGTCCAAAACTGTGATATAGATAAGTGGGTTGACAATGGCGTAGGCCTGCGGCTCAATTCGGGGTTTGAATCCTGACAACGACCCATAACTGATGTATGCCAAAAAATTTCAGCAGTGCCTAATTTCTTGACAAAAAGTTATGCAGGACCAGAATTAAAGTAGTGGCTGATGACTTGACAATCTCTTGACCCCAAAACTGCATTAGTGGCTCATGACATGGCAATCTCTTAGGCCCAGACGTGTTGTAGTGGCTGGTGACTTGACACTGAGGAAGGTCCAGAACTGCAGTAGTGGCAGGCCAGTGGCCACTTCTTAACGACCTCACAGCATCAATGGGTAGACGAGGACGTTGGACAACAATGACAGTAGCAGTGCTGCGAACACCGGAGGACCGAAGTGACTACTGCCGTGGCCATGGTGCATGGCTGCTGGGTGCTCTCCTTGAACAAAGGCAGTACCTCAGTAACAATACTGGTAACAATGTCTTAGATTAGTAAAAAAAGATAAAAAAGTTTAGAAATTATGTTGTTTTTAAGTTATTTATGGAGATAAACATTAGTAGTTTTGATGTTTTATGCTGGTTTTACATCCAAAGTTAAATGGCTTTAAATAACTTCTAAGGGTTTTCATAAACACGAACAAACTACGATGCCTGATCTACTAAAAAGAAATCGACTTCATTATGTTGTACAGTACTTAGAAATGATTCATTGTTTTTCTAGCTCATTCTAATTGCACAAAAGAAACATAATACTAGGGATAATGTACTATTTATACTGAAACTGTTCAAAACGTTATACCTTTATTAATTCTTGTCTTTTGGAATAGGTATCTGTGTACAAAGTTATTAAGGATAACGGACATTTGAAAACCCCCCAGCTGCACGCCTACCACATACTTGAATGAAACGTTCTGAGAAAAAAGTATAAATCATTCTATAAACCATCTGTTAAGGGAACAAAACTCAATGAAGAGCTATATTTATTCACTTTAAAAATACTGATGATAATATTGAAGGAAATTGAAGACATTTGAGCTGTCAGATTTTATTTATTTATTGTTTGTTGGTTTACTTTTCCCTGATTTAATATTTTAAATTCAAAAATATATGTCTACATTACGATAAAGGTATTGGTTTATATTCTGTCGCACAGTTGATACAAATACACAAGAGATTTTCATTAAAACAAGCAATACGCACGAGTGTATCTGGTTTTTATGAAAAAGAGTCCCACTTTATTCTCCTAATTATCTTGCCCCGTAGCCCAGTCAAGAACAGGTTTAACCTCCGAAAAATTCCAAAAGTTTTGAAACCTTAACCTATTTTTAGGTACCTAGGGAAGATTATACCAAACGTCCCCATAAATAGTAAGCGAGCTCTAGTGGCAATTAGTGAAAACAGAGCACCTTTTTTGGTTTTTGGCTAACATCTTGAGATCCGTGGGTCAGAGTTAAAAGTGACTATATACCAAATGAAATATCATTAAATTTTCTATAAAAATTATATTTACAATCTTATTTTATTCCTAATGGTTACCGAGTTATATGGCGCTGAAATATGGTGTTTTTTTTTTTCTCAAACTGTCGGGTTGCAAACAATGGTGCATACTAAAGTAGGTATTTCGTTGAGAAAGACGCCATATTTTAGTATCCTATACTAAAACTTGGTAACCATTATTCCAACTTGGTAATTCCAACTTGGTAACCATTAGGAATAAAATAAAAGTGTAAATATCATTTTTGTAGAAAACGTAATGATCTTTCATTTGGTATATTATAGTCACTTTTAACTCCGATCGATGGTTCTCGGAATTTTAGCCAAAAACAAAAAAAATGTGCCATGTTTTTACTAATTGCCACTAGTAGAGCTCACCTCATATTTATGGGGACTTTTGGTATAATTTTCGTTAGGAACCTAGAAATATGTATGCAAAGTTTCCAAACTTTTTTTGGAGGTTGGGTCATGATTTTGTATATTTTTACTGGACTGCCGTTGCGAAGCACGGGTAAAATAACTAGTTATGAGTGTATACTTTTTTTCAAATAGTTATACACATGGACATACAAAATTGTTTAACTTTTCTAAACATGGACTATGTTTGCCTTTTGTCTTCTACAGCTGTTAAAGTATCTTTAAATTGGCGTACGCTGACCAAATGATAGGTTATAATATCATCTAATAAGTAGTTTGAAATTTATAGATTATATTTATAAATATAATAATTGCGAATATAATGTTTTACGAACCATAAGGACAAAGCTACACCCATTTACATCTGTACAAACCCAAGTATAATGTCGACTCGTATAAAAAATATATTTTATGAGATGCCTGCCAAAAACATATCAACATAAGTGTGAAAATGTAAGTGGGATGCCAATCTGTTGAACATAATGAGATATTAAAACTATAAGTAAATTACCATTTAATATATGGACGTGTATAGTGTTGGCTGCTGCTGTGGTAGGATCGCAGGAGTAAAGACCATTGTCCGCCTTGTCGGCCTTCTGGATCAACAGTCTACTCCTTGTGACTGCTCCCTTCTCTGTGACTAAACTGATTCCTCCTCGGCTGTTCTCGAAATTGATCAGCTGTTACGAACAAAAAAAATATATTTAATCAGTTCTACCAACTATATTTATTTGTGCGACTGAGTTGCACATTATATTTTTCCTACAGTTACCATAAAACAAATAAATTGGTAAAGAAACGTGCCTTCACGTTGCAAAACTGGAGAGAGACAAAGTAATTAGAGTAAGACAATGTTAACATTTTCTCACTGTTGGCCACTTTCGTGCATTCACGTTGCAAATCTGGAGTGAGACAATGTTAACATTGTCTCACTGATGAGCGAATTGGCCACTTTGCTTTCTCAAATCAGTGAGAGAACATGTACATTGTTAGGCAACTGTAGGAAAAAGTAAATATACTGGGTTTTTAAGACTTTTAATCGGTTCGGAAATAATCTGGGACATCCCCACATACTTTAATCTCAACATTTTTAACTTCCAGTGAGTTTCTTCAAATGAATATTTTTTGTTAATTAGCTGTTGGAATTGTGGTTTGAAGTTTTTTTTCTACTGTTGTCACTACTTGAACATTTTTATTTTCGTTTGTCTTTAAGCTGAATAGTGAAAAAGCTCCTATGTTTCCATACCATCTGCAAATGCATTAGTCTCCAAAATAATGTGATGATAGTAATAAATAAGCCTTACCTAAAATATACTAAATGCACTATAACCGTTTTAAAACTATACTTATTATCAGTTTCGTATTTTATTCAACTATTGCAATTTGAAAATAAGTGAGAAATTGTTTAAGTTATATTAATGGATTACACAAAAGTTAAAATATATTACGTAAAGCCATAATTAATCATGGGTTGCTCAACTTCAAATGACGAATAATTGATAAACAATTTAAATTATTTTTAAATTCTAGAAGTTATTTTTAGGGATATGCAAACGCACTACCACAAAGAATTCTTTTCCACTATAGATACATAGTCCAGAAGAATTTGTCAACAATAGCCTTTGACTCACAACGGAACAACCAAGATGATATTGGCCACATTGCTCAATGGATCGAACAAATCAAGACCAACGTCTATTGTACGCTCACATATTGTGTATTTGGAGCATTGTATTCTGTTTCTTGAATAGATTTAACATACTCAATACAATATCAATTTCATTCTGTACACAAATATTTGGTTATTTTTCTCAACCTATGGACATGACTTGAATAATCGAAATAAATATGACCCTGAGTCAGAAAGATTTAATATTTTCATAATGTAATATACATTATTTGCTACAAATTACTGCTTTGATAAAATTTGGGAGATTTAAAACATAATTCTCGATAAACTATACTACAAAAGGACTTTATAAACATTTATTTTATTTCGTCATTACTAATATATGAAACAAAACATAGATTTTATTGTGGTTTCAACTAAAATATAAGGTACTACTTCACAAATTTACTGTAAATAAAATATCCCATTATATTGGTAATTACTTATTAGCTTTGGTATGGTTCATAAAAGAGCAAATAAACTATAACTAAAATTTTCTGTATGCTACATGCAAATAACATTTTATAAATATAAATTTATTTTAGAGTAATGTACAGTTTGTAATTCAGTTTAGTAATTAAATCTCATCCAACTGAAAGCACTTTCCTATATATTGGATACATTGAAATTGGAGCTTTGCCACGTGGATATATCCGTGTTGACTGTAATTTATGCAATTCAATTTATTTGCAGAGTACCCTTTCCGGAAATATTTAAAAACATGGTTCCAAAGCAGCACATATTTTCCCAATCATTATTTAATTTATCTTCCTGAACAAAAGTAAAAAAAAGGATAATTAACAAAACATTTAACTTCAAACAATATTAAAATACTTCCACGATAACTACGGAGGTATATAATCCATTGTTTTTAAATTAGGTGATTAATTTACCTTTCTGTCATGTCTCCATAATATTGTAGGCGGGGGCTCAGGGGTGAAGGATACGATACATGTGAGGTTGATTGTACTGCCGATGTTGATAAACATCTCAGGACCACCCAGGATCTCCGTCGTCGGCTCTGACGTCAGAGGGTGGTATTAATATATAATATATAATCAACAGGGAACTGAATTATGTAAACCTTTGATAATATACAAGGTGTTCATAAGAAATTTGGAATTTTGGCCTAATTTGTACTCACATTCATAATAATAAAAATAACATAGTTTTCTGAGAATAAACAACCGAGCAAAAATTAACCCCATCTCCCCTCCAGTATAGTTTTAGGTTCATCCTACCAGAGATTTCGAAAGTTCAATCACGTTGTATATGGTGCTAAACATTTAATTTCAGACAAAATAGATAGGAGATTACAAAATGACATTACATAATTAAACAATAACAAGACATATAAAGTCACCGTTATCTCTGACTTGTAGTTATTCTGTACAATGAAAATTTCACGAATATTAGAAAACAATTGTATTGATCATAAACATAACAAATAACGTCACTGGCCCAAAAGCAAACAGGTTTGTAGTGTTATTTAAAAGGCACTATCAAATGACGCCCAAACCATATGTTAACATTTTTAGAGTAAGATTCAGGCCAATGTCGTCATTTGTTTAGGCTAATGATATATACCTTTTCTGTTCTAATATCTCTGGAAAATTCTATATCATTATTTATTTATTTATCGTAAATCTTTTATTTGTATATGTGCATATATGGGTAAGTATATGTTTCAACTATGTATATTATTTTCAAATACTAGTTGATAACTTTACCTAATCATTCCAAGCTCTCTCCTTAGATAATTAAAAATAAATTGAATCATTTTAGACTACTTTGCGGCTTTTAGGTTGTAAATAGTGGTAAATACCTTGGTCAGTAGTGGTAAAACATTACTTACCAACTATACTAAGATACACAGGATGACCTATGGGAGGCGTTGTGCTGATCTGGCACTCGTATGTCCCTGAGTCTTCCTTCTGAGGATATCGTATCCGTAGTGTCCAGTCTTCTGTGTGAGGTGAATGCACGGACTCGAACCTCTGATCACTAGTGTATGTGTATCTACCCACCGTCAATAGGTGAATATCCTTGTGTCGTACCCAGGATACCTAGCCGTAGGAGAAAACCAGTTAAAAGTTTTAAAATTATCATACTTAAATGTAGAGGTTTACAAAGACACGTGTTCACAAGTGATGATATTCATTTCAAAAAGTCCAGATAACCACGTGTTTGTCAACCTTGAGGCAGTATTGTGTGACCGAGTCGCACTTAGAGTGCACTTAGTATTGTGTGTCGCTGGCACTTAGATTATTTTGTATTTCACTGACTCCTGGACTTATACACTGCTCATTCTGTAGGACGCAGAGCAAACTACAGACACCAAAATGGTACATAGATCACTTTGTAATGCATTGGCGAATAGACTTTTGATCATTTTAGAGTGAAGATTTAAAAAAATACAAAAATGGCACTGAGCATTATGAAGTGAATATCTTAAAAATTAATGTAAGAGCAGCTAAAAATAAAAAAGAACAAAAATAATATAGAGCGATAAGGTACAAAATACAGTGTATACCATAAATATACGATATCATTTGGTGATTTTTTTGTTTTCAAATATTCATTTAGCCTCAAAAACTGTAATAATTATATATTATTTTCCCATTCCAAACGTCAAGTGTAATCCTTTTGCAACTAATCCACGTTGAGAAGAATCCAGTAGGAACGCGGTTTTAATGGCTCGAGTAGTTTGAAATACTTATAGGCAGGTAAACTTCCCCGAGTAAAACGGTCACCAAGAGTACGGATACTTGTTACATAATTTTCCTGTAAAATTTTCTAACACTGGCTGTTGGAATTGTGTTAACTTTAAGTTTTTTTTCGGCCAAAAGTAAACAGTATCACTCTTACGAGATGTTTTTGTAAGTTTTCTTTTGTACGTAGTTATTTTCATAAGGGTTTACTATTTATCATTTGACTCCCTCCAAAATACACATTCGGAAAACTGTCTATCCATATATTTTTCCTTATTAGCATACATATAATGCTATTAAACTAATATTTAGTTGGCTAAAGACTCGTACCAGGTTTAAGCAAATCAAATATAGATTTGAGATGTATTCTGTGTAATTAATACTATCCCAATTTTCTACGAAAATACTCTATATCAATCATATAAAAAAATTAGAAAATATTCTTTTTTCTTGTTTTTTTATTTATATGCTTTGTAAGTGATACTAACCGTTCGGTTTCCTAGGTTCTTGACTCGACAGTTTAGGTAAGCTGTCTTGCCTACCAGACCCGTCAGGTTGCCAGGAACAGAAGTGTCAAAAGTCGGTCCTGTCCCTGGAGTAGACAACTCTTGCTGGAGATCGTTCATTGCGTACTTTCTTGTGCTTGAAGAAACTAAAAAAAGAATAACTAAGAGCATTAGGGGTGATATTGAATCAATATAGCACAACATCACCGATAACTTACTAAAACTATAATCAATCGTAATTCAATCCCAATTTAGATTGTCAATACTTCATGGATACAGATTTAAAAACTAATAACGATTTGGTTAGTTTATTTTATATGTTATAAATGGATATTGGTACAATATATAATAATTATCCGAGATATTTTCATCTCAATCGTAAGTTTATTTAAATTTGAAAAAATAATGCTATAAAATAAAAGGAATTTTTTGGAAAATTAAAACAGTATGATTCGTAAACATAAAATAAATTTATAAGTTTAGATGTCAAAATGCTGTTTAGGAAAATTTTCAAACCATTACTGTCCAAAAGAAGAAAACTTTAATCCTTAAATCCTTTTAAACAATTAAATAGAAAACACTGTCGAAGTAATTTAGTGTTATTTTTTACATTTAGGCTATACACATAGCTTAGATATTGTAAACACTAGTTTTACTATCTAGGCACTGTCTATGCGTACTGAAACTAATACTTAAATAATTGGATTTGCAAGCTAAAAGTACGAAAAAATAAATACAAACTTAAAAAAAAGTTAATTATTTGAATGTAGAACGACGCTCATATTTTACCCACGAATATTTGCATGGGACCATCCTGAGTCGTCCTGTCTATAACAACTGCTTAGCCACTAAATGCTAAGATCAGTCTAGTGATATTTTCTCATACACAATACAAATGTTATTGATATTTCTTGTTGAAGAAGTCAAACAGCATATAATTAGTATCTCAACAAATTATAGTGGATCAGTTACCTTATGGCTTACTCTTAAAATAACTTTCACGATGACATAATTTGGGCAGTAAAGTTAAAACTTCTTCATTTGTGTAAAACTTCATATTTTAGAAAGTATTCGGAAAAGAAATATTCATTGAAAACCCTTCAATGAGAACTAATTTTAAAGCACGTTAGACGTAAGTAAATAAGTCCTTACCTTGTTGGGAGAGGAAAAGAAGGACGAAAATGTTAAGTTCCATTGAATAAATGTATTATCTCATTCCATGGCGTGACACTATTTGCAATCATTGTGTCACATGCCAAATCATCGATTAAAGTCCATGAAATGTTAACCTATATATTACGGTATGATCATTACAAAACGTTAGGGGAGCACTTTTGAATGTATGTGAGATGAAAGTCATATTCAATTAAGGCGCGCCTTTAAAACTTGTTATCTTTAACACATCTAACATTCGGTTTCTTTACGCCAAATAGTATTGTAAACTGAATATTAAAATTGCTGAGTTGATGACTTGTTCATACTGAACTCGAACCTGAAACAAAATTAAATACTAAATTTAAACGTACATCTTATATATTTAATAACGAAATTAAATTAAATATTACTTCTTATTGTTAACAAAGAATATGCGACGTCAATTAAATCTAACGAGCTCCAACCCAAAGGTGAGTGAGCGTAGCGAACGAACTTCAACCAGGACGTAATTGAGCCATGCGAATACTTATGAATTTAAACGGGGCAAAGCCCGCGGGTACAGCTAGTAGTAAATAAATGTACTCAATGCGTCATAGGATTGAAAAATAAATAACAGCAGTTAAATTATACAGCTGATCAAAATGTAAACAATTATGTTCTCCATAAGGATAACATGGGAACTTTCAAAGCCACTGGGGCAGAGCCCAAGGGACTTGTTCAAAAATGCAAGTTTGCAAATCTACGTGGCACGCTCTTTCCAATGAGACGTCAATCGATAAAATCGGTTTAGAAATGGCGGAGAAGTTCAACCGACAAAGTTTCATGTAGCGTATTAATTATATAGATTGAGTTGAAACCTTAAGGCTACGAAATATTTGGTAAAATAACTAGATTTCGTTCTAAAACTGTACTTTTCAATGGATTAATGGGTTAAATAACACAATACATGACACGATAGATTTCGTTAAATATACAACCTTAAAGTTTATACGTTAATGAAAAGCATAAGGAAGATATGAATACACAAGCACAATAACATTAAAATTTGAACTATGAAATTTTTTAATTGCAATCAAAAAAAAATATAACAATACAAATGCTATTAAATTGCACATTACTATGTGAAGGAAATTTTTTTCTAAGTATCACAGGGCGTTCTTAATCAAAGTTTGTAAAAGGATTAGTTAAGTTGAGAGATATAAAACAAATCCGTGAATCACAATAAGGAAAATATTGAGGTTCAGTAATTATTATTTAAAATCGTATTAAAAACTATTGTTTATCTAAGGAACTCCTTAGTAAGTCCGGCCCTCATACTCATTAAACCGTTCACATGATACAAAGAAAATCTAATTTCTTTCCATATAACCTTCGCTTATTAGTTTAACGCAGTTTATCATGAAAGTGCGATGTCCTTTGAATTTACATTTATAAGCGGGAGAAAGTAGTATTTGGAGTGACAGCAGCAGTTCAAGGCCCCTTTGATATCACAAAGTCTTTGTCCTCTCTGCGCCTCATTCCATCACAAAACACACAACCCCTAGCTTTATGTAGGATTAAAACTCAAAGCATTTTGCATCCAGTTTTTCAGTTTTGTATTCACAATAAAATTTATTTGGTTTCTTCTAATTTTTTTCTACAAAAGAAATATCCATTCTTTAACAATTTTAAATAACGTTTATAATAATTGTTTTTCTCAATGATTTGGCTTGCATTGCTAATATATAGCAATTTAAAACATAACATTTTCAAACACTAACTTCGTTTCATTTTGTATGAAATAAATATTTTTATTAGGGAATAAACAATTAACTTACACTGCCAATAAAAAGGAAATCGAGCAGTAGTAAGACAATAATGCATAGCTTGACAAAATTATACAATACGGTTATTTATTATGTTATTGATTAGTCCGTATTTAATCTTGACTTGATGTTAACTGACGAATGTTAACGTGTCTTTTACGAATATTATTTGCGTTCCAAAGACGACCACAGAAACGTAAGATTAAAGCCACTCTTTACAAGACCAAGACCACAAAAGTAAATTTGTATTCAATGTAATTAAAAAAAATTATGCTTTTTTATCAAAATTAAATATTATAGCTTTTTACTAACAGCTTTTTTACAATATCTGCTGACATGGAATTTATGTGAATCTGATAACTTATTTTCACTGATACCCTTCAACCCAGTTCTGGGGACCCTATATTCATGGCTTGGGGTTATAATATCTTTATAAGTTCAGATCAATTATAGTATCGACGATTTAAGCAAAAATATGTATATATTTATTAATAGCAACACTTTGCTTGTTATGTTTCAAATTCTACACCTACTAAAAATTTAAAATATATTTCCCTATGATACCCTTATTTTATTGTTTTGATAAGTATTGTATTTCATAATAATAATTTTACATTAAACTTATAAAAAATTCCACCGACAGACGAAGTGAAACTTATATAATTTCATGGTTTCGTTCCTCAACTTAATAATCTTAAGAGCTTTGCTAATGGAAAACATAAAATAGAATATGGTATGTAATGGATAATTGAAGGTTTTAACTTAAAACCTAACCAAAAACCAAATATCCATAATAGAAAATATCTGATATTTATTATATTTACCAAGCAACCTTGTTGTTGAACCTAATAAAGAAGCCTGAATAGTATATATCAATATCATACTATGGGAAACAAACATGTGAACTAAAACTGTGTCTTTGAATGTATATCTCTGATGTGTAGCTGTACATATGAATACATAAAATCATTAGGAAAAATATTTACAACACATTTTTAAGCATGATTGAAGTAATTTCTACACACCAGTGTCTTTAACACACACACAGATCTTTAATGTATATAAATCAATTAATAAATATAAATATAAATATAATATAACTAATTAATTAAGCATTGTAAATTCAAGTTACATAGTAATAACTGTAATTCTTTTACAAATAACTCTATACAACACCTATGAAATATCGCATAAATGGTTTACAGATATCATAAAAATTAACTTCCCTTAAAATTCAAAAATATTTTATTTATGTTATAAAACATTTACATCATATTATAGTGACCAATTATTTAAAGGATGTTTTTTTTTATTTCATGAAAGCAAAACTGATAATGATATTTTCAATAAAAGTATGATATATAACGTGTAACTAAAACTTGATTATTTATAATTAGGCAGTTATTCAACAGATTGTATGTCCGCCATTTTAGGTTAAAGTTAAAATAATAAAGTGTTCATGGTGCAAGGAAGTTTAAAGGGTAGTTTTGGTGGATAAATCACATCAGTTTTAGTTCATGTTGGTTTATCCCGCAGTTTCTTGGGCTAGAACGTTATTCATTGACAAATTACTAACTTCAGCTTAGGCAGATTGACTGTGTTACTTTGTAACACAAAATAAAATGTAAAGAGAATAATGATATGCATCTACGTCTGGTGTTTCAGTTTACTAACTAAAACCCTAAAGTGCAAATTAAAATATCCAAAAAACTAACATCTTTCTGTAGATTCTTTCTTTCCGTAGAAACGTACTAGAACCATTCTTTAAAATAACTAACATCAGTGATTGTGGGGTTCATAGAAAAATGTTTTTTAAGCGATTTACACCATCGGTTATAATAACCAAAAATGATCAATCGTTTAACTATTTGTAGATTAAGATTTAATAAATTTCGAGTTTTATATACACAAAAAAACTATCTATGACCTAAATAGCTGTTTGGAATTGTTTATATTTTTTACAAAATTAATATGAAGAAGATGAAGATTTATAAAATACATAAGCTTAATGCTGTACATAAAATCGACTAGCTTTAATTAATAAATATCTCAAATTAGGTACCCTGTAATACAGTTTACACAATTGACAAAAACTGTGCATTTCAATACTTTGCACCTTTATGTATTTGCCATTAAAATGAACGAATTCGAATATTTCGACTAAGCATAAAATTCATCGTTACATTTATTCATCAGCAAAGACATCTACATTCGAAACGATATTTGAATAGTTATTTGTGTAACTAGTGTGCAAAGTGGCACTTTGCTGCACACGAGAGAAATATTTACTAGTTTCTCGAGTGGAGCAAAGTAAATTTGAACTCGTGTTACATATTATATTACTATATTATAGACTGGGGACGGGTGGCGTCGTCCTGTAATCCAGCTACTAGGAGGTCACAAATTCTGGATATTTATAGGCATGCACTGTGGATGCGATACTCCCTGGTGTGGATTAACGTCCGCACTGGTGAGTACTACGACTATCCGCAGTACTATCCTGATAATTAGACCAATTCGTATATACCAAGGGAAAAAAGTGGTTCGGATTCCACTATAAACTGTAGGTCCCTTAGTTGCCATTAGCTGTATGGGCTATTAATTAACAGCTGTGTCTAAGGAATATGTCGGCCTTAGTCACTAACAAGACTACAAGATCGCGCCACTTATCATACACTCATCTCCATTCATACTTGGCTTAAAATACCTACTTTGTATGGTCGCCATTTCAAAGAAAAGTATTAAAGTATTAAAGAATATTTATCCTACGGTTATTATAAAGCATAGGAATAATTAGTCTTTCAAACACATGAAAAACACGTTGTAGCCAATTTATTTGGGGCAATGTGAAGGACAGGGACTCTACCATTAGCTCACACCCTGATAGAGATCAGAGGAGGGATTCACGATGCAGTGCTAACAGTAAGCCAAGATATTCATATCAACGATTGGGCATAATTGCAACATAACCTGGAAACATGTTTTGTTGAAAACGTACAACACATTGAGCAACTTAAGTGATATCAAACAAAACGAGAGTATTATCTTTTAATGAATTATATTTAAAGTAGTATTATGTGTTTGTAAGTTCAATAAAGTATTTTAAACCCCAGTGAATCTTTTATGGACACCCGGTATTTTCTTTCAGAAAATATATTTTAAACATGTATAAATTGCAATGTAGATAAAACCTAATGTGTGTTATTTTTTAACACGAACAAAGTTTTCTAATAAAACTAAGTCATAACTATAGGGATAAGTCATACTTATCCTGTTATTAAAAAAAAAACTGTTTTTATATTTCAATAAAGACATTCAATTGTTAAAGTTGAGGCAAGTGTATCTCATTCGGAGCTTAGAGGTGAGCCAGGGCAATAAAATGTCGAGTGGTTACGCTCAAAATGATTCTCAACTACCGTGCACTACTCTACTTAAAATAACATTTTATTGAACTGTTATATGTTATATTAAGGATAAGGTTTTCCAGAGTAAACACTTTATTTGATCGAATATAATTTCCATTAGTTTCTAT